ACATCCTTAATCCTCATTTACACACCCTAGATCCACCCATCTCTGAAAGGCCCCACCTACAACTGCATGGGACTTTGGGAGGATACCTAGATACAAGCCATAACAAAGACTCAAGTGGGGCAACTAAGGTTGACAATAATTGCTTCAAAATAGCTAGTAGGGAAACATTTGAATATTCCCTGCAAAAAAGAAATAAGAAATATTTGTGGTGATGGATTTGCCAATTACTCTGATTATATACCAGATACACATATGAAATATTACACTGCACCTCATAAACATGTACTATTATTATATGTCAATAAAGTCACACCTAAAAATAAGACCAAATTATATGTTGCACATAATAGACTCGCTTAAACTTTAAGGATGCCCAGACACTTCATAACACTTAACCAATTGTGTCAGTTCGAGTAAGGCATGCCCAACTAAATTGGATCAGCATAGTTCTGGGTGTGGCTAAAGAGACTAAATTAAGACAGAAGACCCACAATGGGTGTAAGTGACAGCCATCAATAGGCTCACTGCCTGAATGGAATAAGAAGGAAATGAAGAAGGAAGACTCACTTCTCATTCTTGGAGAAGATCCAGTTGTCACTCTTACCGGGATGTCACCTCCTGTCTTCCAGAATCAACTCTCAAGCCTTCTAGGACAGACTTTTCAACCGCCAGCACAGACCTTTCTGATTCCATTACAGGTCCTTCTGCCTCCTGTTATGGACTCACATGGGACACTACAGGGAGCTCCAGGTTTTTGACTGAATCCTTCCAATCTCCAGCATGCAGACAGCGATTAGGCACTTTCCCACACCTAACTCTGTGGGCAGTAGCCACTGTAAGCTACTGTATATGTTCATGTCTTGCACTGTCTGCTTCTCTAGTAAGGCTTGAGGTAAAAAGATGGAAGAATATGGTACCTATAAATAAAAACTAAAAGAGAGCAAGGATATCTGTGCTTCATATCAGACAAAATAAATTCTAAGTCAACAACCCTAACAAGAGCAAAGATCAGTATATAATGAAAAAGGGATCAATTTAACGAGAATGTAACAATTATAAATGTATAGTCACTCAACATTAGTGCACATAATAATATAAAGCAAATGTTTATTCTATTTTTTAAAATTTATTTATTTATTTTTTTTTGGCGGAACTGGGGATTGAACTCAGATCCTTGCATTTGCCAGTCAAGCGTTTATCCTACTGAGCCATCTCCTCGGCCCCAACATAAAGCAAATGTTAATGGGTTTGATATTAACTTAGAGTAATATAATAGTGGAGAACTTCAACGGTCCATTTTCAACAATGGACTGGTCATCCAGGCAGAAAATCAATATGGAAACAAACATTTTGCTTGAGTTACACTTTAGGCCAAGTGGACCTACCAGGCATATGGGGACATTCCATCCATTCGGAGCAGAACACATACTGTTCTCAGGCAAGTTAGAGCAAGTGTTAACAAATTTTAGAAGATGAAAATAATATCAAACATAATCTATCTAACCACATACCAGAAAGCATATTCAACTACAATGGTGTGAAACCAGAAACCAATAACAGGAGGAAAACTAGAAAATTCACAAATGTGCAGAAACAAAGCAACATACTCCTAACCAACTAACAGATTAAAGAAGAAAACAAAAGGAACACTAAGAAATAGCTGAAGCAAGCACAAGAGAAATACAATATACCAAAACTTATTATGTATAGGGAAAGCAGTTCTAAGAGACTTGTAATACAATGAATACCTTCATGGGGAAATTAAAAAGATCTCAAGCAAACAATCTAACCTTATACCTTAAGGAACTAAGAAAAGAAAAATGAACTAATCCCAAAGTTAGCAGAAAGAAGGAAATAACAAAGTTAAAGGATAAGTAAATGGAACTCAGCAAAACAAGATTTTTTTAAACTTAGTACAGAGTGTACAGGGTCTCACTACACAGATCAGACTCATAGTGATCCTCCTGTTTTCAGCCTCCCAAGCACTGGGCTTACAGGTGCACGCCACCACTCCCAGTCTCAATCCTCATCTCAGTGAGCACCAGGGCAGAGCCAGTACAACAATGCTGGGGATTGAACCTGGTCCCTGCATCTGCCTAAGCAGGTACTTTAATCAGCTGAGCTTTCTGGTCAGTCCAAGATTTAAAAAATTAATGAAACCAAGAATTTCTTATAAGAAAGTTAAACAATATTACAAATATTTTCAGAGAGAGAGAGAGAAAGAGAGAGAGAGAGAGAGAGAGAGAGAGAGAGAGAGAGAGAAAGAGAGAGAGATTGGTTAAATAGGAATAAAATAGGAGTCATTACAACAAAAACCACAGAAACATAAGGATCATAAAGGCTAATGTAAGCAATTATATGCTAATGAAATGGATACCTTAGAAAAAATGATAAATCCCTTATAACATATAACCTGCCAAAACTACATTGCAAAGACAGGAAATGCAAATAGTGATAATAAATAAAAGGACTGAATCAGTAATCATACATTTTTTTTCTTAAATCAAAGAAATGCTCAGGACTTCATGACTTCACTGGTGAATTCTTCTAAACATTAAAGAACATTCAACACCATCCTTCTCAAATTCTTGCAAGAAATAAATATTTTGGTCCACTTCCCACCTCATTTTATAAAGGAAGCATGACCATGGTGCTAAAGATAGACAATCATGTTACGAGAAAGGAAAGTCACAGGTCATTATCTTTGACGAATATTGATGCAAAAATCCTCAACAAACTATGAACACATTGGTCTCAACAGCACACTGGAAGGATCTTGCAGCAATATCAAATGGAACTTTTCTCTGGAACACAAGGATGATTTAACATACACAAACCCATGAATGTAACACACCTCATAAAATAATAAGGCTAAAAATACGTTCATTTCAGTAGTGTAAAAAGATCATTTAACAAATGTCATCTTTCCTTCATGATAAAAATTCTCCCAAAATTAAGTACATACAAAGAGTGCACTGTCACCCAATGACAGGACATATGACCAGCCCACATCTAACATATCAGGGACAAGATAAGGATGTCCATTCTTACCACTTCTGTTCAACTCTGTACTGGAAGTCTTGGCCACAGCATGTAGGGGGAAAAAACCAACAAATTAACAATGGTTGTTATATTAACTATTTTTTTTTATGCATTTGGTACAGGGTCTGCAGGGTCTTCAGTATCTCACTACACAGACCAGACTTGTAGTGATCTTCCTATTTTCAGCCTCCCATTTGCTGGCATTACAGGCTCGTGCCACCATGCCAGACTCAATCACCCATCTCAGAGCACCCTGGGGGTGAGGGGGATGAGGGGAGGGCCAGCATGGCACATCTGGAATTGAACCCTGGCTGCTGCACTCTGCCCAAGCAGGCACTTTAGTCCACTGAGCTATCTGGCCAGCCCTTAACTATTTTTTTTTATTGTTAAATCTGTTGCTTGAGCTAACAGATATAACTATGTGAGATTGGACAAATAATTGAATATTAGCCTTGATTAAATAAGCCTTATTTTTTTCTTGTCTTTTTTACTTTTTAAAAAATATTTATTTTAGGAGTACACTCAGCCACCTGATCTTTGACAAAGGAGCCAAACATGCTTACTGGAAGAAAGATTTCCTCCTTAACAAATGGTGCTGGAGAAACTGGCTCTCTACATGCTGAAAACTAAAACTTTACCCAGGTCTATCACCATGCACTAAGCTAAAGTCAAAGTGGATTAAGGATCTAAACATTAAAACAGAAACACTAAATCTCCTGGAAGAGAAAGTAGGAGGAACTCTTGAAGACATAGGGATAGGCAAAGAGTTCATGAACAAAAATCAAATTGCATGGGAAATACTTGAAAGAATTAACAACTGGGAGCACCTCTTATTGAGAAGTTTTTGCACATCAAAAGAAATTACCAAGAAAGTGAAAAGACAACCCACAAATTTTGAAAACAATCTTAACTAATAAGCACTCAGACAATGGTCTGCTCTCTAGAATTTATAAAGAACTAAAGAACATTAGGACCCCTAAATTTAAAGACCCAATCCAGAAATAGACATCTGAGATGAACACACATTTCTTAGAGGATGAAATTAAAGAAGCAAATAAATATATGAAAAAATGCTCCTTATCACTAACCATCCGTTAAATGCAAATTAAAACAACACTGACATACCATCTCACCCCAGAAAGAATGGCTATCATAAAGAAATCAACCAACAACAAATGTTGGAGAGGCTGTGGGGGAAAGAGAACCCTTCTTCACTGCTGGTAGGAATGTAGACTGGTACAACCATTATGGAAATCAGTAAACTAGGACTGGAAATCCCATTCAAGCCTGCTATCCCTCTACTAGGAATTTTCCTGGAGGAACTGAAAGCATTATATCATAGTGATATATGTGTACCTATGTTATAGCAGCACAATTTGTGATAGCCAGATCTTGGAAACAACCAAGATGCCCATCACATGTGGAATGGTTGAAAAAAGATGTGGTATTTTTATATAGTGGAGTATTACTCAGCTATAAAGAATGATAAACTCAAAGCCTTCATATTTAAGTGGATGCCACTTGAAGATATACTTATCAGTGAAATAAACCAGACCCATGTGTGTAAATATCATATTGTCTCCCTAGTATAAGAACTCAAAAGAATTACAAATAGAAAGGTATAACACAATTTAAAAGGAAAGTGAGAACTTGAGGAATGGACAATGAGGAGTGGGCAAGAAGAACAGCTGGGAAACATGACTGGAGCAAAGCCATAGATGTATACGCACGAGATGGGTAATGCAATGATCCTGAGAAACATCTGCAAGTTTTTGAAACTAGCAGTTAACTGATAAGATTCTCTCTCTCTCTCTCTCTCTCTCTCTCTCTCTCTCTCTCTCTCTCTCTTGTACCTTTTATTGACATACATTTTTCTGGGCATTGCCCACCTACCTAACTTAGTATGGCCTCTTTGGCACTGAAAGCTGAAGAATTAAAAAAAAACAGTGAAAAAAAAAAAAAAAGCCTGGATTGGTCTGAGTGCATAGTGCATGAGAACTAAAGGTCTTTGGTACACAGGAACCTGGGGACAGTGGGCAGGGTGAGAGGCAGTGACCTCATGGGACTGGAAACAGGCTGTTAAAGATGAAGTGGCCAATGACCAGGGCCAGCATCTCAGAGGTCCTACTCAGTGCCACAATGAAGGGGACCTGGGAGGCATAGTCTGCCTGGAGGCAGCGGAGGGACAGCTGCAGCATGGCCAAAGCCAGCAGGCTGTTCTGAACCCCAATGTCGAGGCTTACTGTTCACCTCTGTGCCACTGGCAGCCTCGGGCAGGTGGCCAGGCAGTAGCCCACTAAGAGGCCAATCAGGGGCACTGTGAGGCCCACCAGGATGATGGGCAGCCTGACTCCCACCAGGATATAGACCCCCATACGGTAGACTAGGAAGAGGCCACCCAGCAGCAGCAAGAAGCTGAAGGGCTTGATGGCGTGCAGTAGTAGCTGGGAGAACCTGGGCAGCTTGGACTTTATCACCACTCCTGCAGCTATGGGGATGGCAATGAACAGCAGGGTGCCCGGGATCTTGGAGACTGGCACATGCAGTGCTTCGTGGATGCTGAGCAGGTGGCTGTAGATGGCAGAGGACAGTGGCAGGAACCTAATGGCAGCTACTGTTGAGATGACGGTCATGGAGATGGCCAGCATGACACCCCCTCCAAGAAGAAGGCTAAAGAGGTAGCTGCCCCCACCACCGGGTGATGAGCAGGTAATGATGAGGCCCAGAGCCAGGGCCTTGGGCAGCATGAAGACCTTGGCCATCAGGAAAGTATAGAAAGGCATGATGAGGAACTGGCCCAGGAGGCCCAGCAGCCTGGGCTGGGGGCTCTGTAGGAGCCCCTTGAGGACCTCGAGTTCCACTTTGCACCCAAATGAACACTTGTTGACAAAGATGAGTGGCAAGAGCAGGTAGAGGATCAGGTTCTCTGAGAAGTGGGTATCTTCTGCTGGTGAGACTTTGATGCAAAAATCTGCCCGTTCCTCGCTCAGCATGGGCGGGACCTCATGAGCATCCACAAGCTGGATTTGTAGTGGCGCTAGCCCAGCCAGGCCAGAGTGGATGCTCACCACAAAGCCGCCCTCGCTGCTCCACTCAATGGTACTCACGTTCTTGATAGTCAGCACCTCTGTGTCCAGGGATGTGACCTTTAGGGTGGGGCCGGTCAAGGTCCCATTGGCTTGGCACCGGTACTGACTGGAGATCACAACGATGCCCTCACTCTCTTCAGGGAACTCAAACTCTACCACAGAGCCATCCCCAGTCCTCCTCCCGCCAGGCCCTGGCTGGCCTGTTGGGGGCCCTTTCCTTTCCCCCACACCATAGCTCTTGCCTGAGGACATGGTGCCCAGCCTTCTGCAGCTCAGGCGAGTGCCCCTGTCAGTGCTGTGGGCTCCTCCTGAGAAGGGTCCATGGGCTGTGCTGGTTCCATGCTGCCTGCCTCAAGGGCATGGCTCTCCCGGAGGAGGGGAGGGACAGAGGGGTAGTTGGTAAAGGTGAACGCCTCTGATCTCTGGAGCCAGGGCATCTGCAGCCCATCACTGGCAGAGTGAGCAAGACCCTTGCCCCAAACTCAGATATGGAAACGCAATGTCCTGTGCTAGTCCTAGTGCCACGTAGCTGTCCCCCTCCCCTGTCATGGCTGTCTTAAGCTCCCCCAACCCCACCGGGGGAGGCCTTAGTTCCTGCTCCCATTCAGCTTGCCCGTAGCTGCTCTAGCTGCTTCCTCTCCTGGGGTCCCATAGGGGCCTTTTGGGGATGGTCTTGTTCAAGGGACTCAGGAGGGCCACCTTCAGTCCTATCACCACCAACGCATTCCCCACTGGCTACAAGATGCAGGTAGGGGTGGATGTAGGGGGTACACTTGTAATCTTAACACTTGGGAGGCTGAGGCAGGAGGACTGCAAGTTCAAACCCAGCCCATGCAATTTAGCAAGACCTTGTCTCAAAACAAAGATACAAACCAAAAGGTTGGGTGTAGCTCGGTGTGTAGGCTCAGGGTTCAATCTCTAGAACTCTGCTGCCAGTTGTCCTGTGCTCTGTAGTGTCCCTTTGGCCCTGCCTATCCACATCTGAAACCTGGAGGCCTAGTCCAGTCTGCATCTTTGTGGCAGAAGGCTGAAGGGCAGGCGGGGTGGGTGGGAGAAGTCAAGTGCAGTGGGCAGAGGCAGGCACGGAGGTGCCGAGGAGAGGTTGAGATGGGAGGCTGGGGGCCAGTCGGTGTAAAGGGCGGGCCTCCTGGCATTGCTGGCACGGGGCTTGGGCTCTGGTGCCCTCTCTGTGTAGCCGCTGGGCCAGGTGCTCATAGGGGCTGACTGCAGAGCAGCGGGGGGACAGAGGCCACCTCCCGCCACCCCTTCCTGGCGAAAACCTCTTGTCCGCCGTCCACATGAAGCCTGTAGCCGGCGCCCGCCTAGGGTGAACTCACTGGTAGGATTCTCACCCTGACTAACTACATATGCTGATACCTGTGAGCCAAGCAGCTGCACTGAAGACAGCAGTATTAATAGAAGGGTCACTCTTGGAATGCCTGTCATTCTGGTCTTCTAAATACATACTTCTTGTCATGACATACCAATTATTACCATAATGTCTCTCAGTTAAAAGTTTTTTTTTCTTTTTTTCTTTAAAAAAAAGGGTAGCAAATGAAAAAAAAAGACACAAGGAAAAAAAAAGTCACAGGTCTGTCCTGTTACAATTCTGTATATGGTTAGATTTCTAAATTTCTTTGTAAAAATATATAAATGCTTATTCCTAGCTTTCTAAAATTATTTTTCCTTCATATTCTGTAAGGACTTAAAGTTCAACATATCAATACTTGATGGAAAATACCTGTTCCATGATATGCCTAAGATGTTTGATATTTAGACAGACAGGGTAAACAGAACTGCATAGATTACAGGTTAATAATAAGCTCTTCTGGAGGGTTAACAAACTAAGTTAGCAGAACAAAATTGGAGAAAAGGAAGGGCTGCAAGTTCAGCCAACATTTTGGCCCTAGCCTTTCAAGGTCAGTGAAGACTCAAGACATAGGAGAACCTGTACTGTAACATCATGTAACTCAGTTGCGCTCCAAATTTTCTGTTCAAGGAGATTATGGAGCCACAGAGGAATGTGATTGATGACGTAGAGTGTGCCTAAGGAGAGTCACATGGAGAGAAAACATTCTCTCAGGCTTTCACAGAGAGCACATTGGTCAAGCAATGGCCGTGACTCATCATGGGTGACACTGACAAAGGATCCACAAAGTGCGGTACAGGGCTACAAGATAAATCCTGAGGGTACTTGACTGATCTTATCAGATACAAAAGTTACATTTCTTGTTATATAGGTCTTGCTTTATCTTGGTCTTAACAATCCAGCAGAAAAACATACAACCGAGGTACATAAAGTACAGCCATATTAATACGATGAGCTGTAAAAGGCTCAAGTCAATAACTTCTGAGGATAACCCACTACTATTATAGACTGCTGGACAGTGTTGGATTGTTTAAGTGAATTCATCTCAATTCCTATAGTATTGAGATGCCAATAGAATACCCACCTCTGACAGGACTTAACAACAGAAAAGGGGGATGCAAAGGAAAGAACATTTTGTATTTGTATATACAAAACAGTTAGGATAGATGTACAGCTGCTTTCACTTAATTCAATGAGAAGAAAGAGGTGTCCTAATAGTGTTTGGACAGGATATCCTGTCTGCTTCTTGTACCATGGATAACCACTAAGAAGATAACAATGTACAATGTATAGATTATTGAAACTGTCCTATTAATCAGCTTTGAAATTGTCTCTCATATTTGTTTCTCAATAAAATAAATCAAAAGATCTGAAAAGCTACACATCATAGAGTATGTATGGATTTATGGCTTACCTGTTGCTTTTCTTATTTCTATTTTTTAGTGATGTAGATTTTTAAATTGGTCAAGTCTTTGATAAAATATTTTCTACGATGCTGTATCATTTTAGCATATTAAATAAAACAAAAAATATTTATTTTAAAGAGAGCATAATAATAATTGATAAGACATTAGAAATAGTACACATTAAGAAGACCAAATTGAGAGGTATACAACCATAAAAATTGTAACATATCTGTTGTTGTATGTTACCCTGTTTCTATTCTTGTTTCTGCTCTTTGTTTTTCTCTCCAAAATAAAATAAAATAAAATTTAAAAAAATTAAAAATAAAAAGAATAAAGTTATATGTATGAAAAAAATAAATAAAAAGTAAAAATATATAAAAAATAAAGGCACCCAAATAAGAATGGAAGATGTGAATTTGCTCCTGCTAGCATAGATCAAAGATACCACAATCTGTACATACATTAGCCTAAAGTGACCACAGAAAACTGTTAGAACTAGTCAGTGAAGTCAGTGAGGTTATAGGATATAAAACCAGTGAACGAAATCAGTTGCAAATCTGAACATTAACAACGAACTAGGGGGGCTGGGAAGATAGCTCAGTAGAATAAGTGCTTACCTGGCAAGTGCAAGGGCCTGAGTTCAATCCCCAGTTCCGTAAAACAAAACAAAACAAAACAAAAAACACCAATGAACTGGGGCCTGCAAGATAGCTCAGGGGCCGGCAAGATAGCTCAGAGGATTAAAGCACCTGCTTAGGCAAGCTTAGGCAAAGCTAGGGACCACAGTTCAATTCCAGGTACCACATGCCTTGCCAGCCCCACCCCCAGGGCAGGGTGAGCTGCTCAGAGTCTGGGCATGATGACATATGCCTGTAATCCCAGCACTGGGGCAGGAGGATCACTGTGAGTCTGAGCTGAGGGGTGAAACACTGTAACAACCAAATACATAAAAAACAAACAGACAAACACCAGTGAACTATCCATAAGAAAACAACCCCATAATCGCTTTAAAAAGGAACACAGGGCCCACCAGACAGCTCAGTGGACTAAAGCGCCTGCTTAGGCAGAGTGCAGCAGCCAGGGTTTGATCCCTGGTGTGCCATGCCAGCCCCACCCCCGGGTGTGCTGACATAGTGATTGAGACTGGGCATAGTGGCACGCACCTGTAATCCTAGTGCTTGCGAGGCTAAAAAACAAGAGGACCACTAGGGGTCTGATGCATGTAGTGAGTTCCTATAGACCCTGTATTAAGTACAAAAAAAAAAAAAAAAAAGGAATACAGACAAGGCAGGCCAGATAGCTCAGTGGATTAAAGCTCCTGTTTAGGCAGACACAAGGACTGGGGTTTGATCCCCAGCATGCTGTGCAGGCCCTGCACCCACCCCCAGGGGGCTCTGAGAGGGGCAATTAAGACTGGGTGTGGTGGCGCACACCTGTAATCCTAGTGCTTGGGAGGCTGAAAACAAGAGGATCACTAGGAGTCTGATCTGTGTAGTGAGACCCTATATACCCTGTAGTAAATACATTTTTTTTTTTAAAAAGGAATACATTTAACAAAAGAGATGAAAAATCTATATAGGTTGGGGAGATAGCTTGGCAGTCTAGACGTCTGCCTGGCAAGCTCAAGAACACAAGTTCGATCCCTGGTACTGCATGCCATGCCAGCCATCGAAACTGGGTGTGGTGGTGCAAATCTGTAATCCCAATACTGGGGAGGCTCAGACAAGAGGATCACTGTGGGTCTGAGCTGTGTAGTGAGACCCTGCACCAAATAAATAAAGAAATAAAATATTTTTTGAAAAAAATTATTAAAAAACAAAGATCTAGATGATGCATAGATGAAAAAAACTAAAGAAGATAAGAATAGATGGAAAAATGTGTTTAGGTATCAAGTTGAAAAGAAATGGGCTTGTGATGATTAATCTAGATTATTAACTTGATTGGATTAAGAGATGCCTACAGAGGTGAATGGATTATGAGAACACAGATCCAATCAATGTTTAACCCATTAATGAGCTGATAGTTAAATGGGCTAGTAGGAGGTGGGGTTGAAGAAGTGCTCATCGGGAGCATGCCTTCCAAGGAGTGTCTTTTCTTGGTCTTTTGTAGCTCTCTTTGCTTTCTGGATGCCAGGGAATGAGCAACTGTGCTCTGCCCTCCTCTATGATATTTCTGCCCTGGAGCCAGATGGTCATGGACAGAGACCCCTGAAACTGTGAGTCAAAATCAATCTTTCTCTTTTGAATTGTGTGTGTCAGGTGCCTTGTACTGGCAAGGATCCAAGGCTGATGTTGTTGCAAATCAAAGGCCTCACCAAGCAGGTGGTTGAGCCTGCAGCCTTGTGACATATGATGAGAGCTTCGGAAGTGTAGGAGTATCCTCAAATTTGAGACAAGAGCATGTGGGATGACCTTGATGAGACTGGGGACATTGAGCCCCTAAGTTTTTTCTTTCTTTCTTTTTTCTTTTTTTTTTTT